AATTTTAGGTGAAACTCAACTTGTTTTGTTTTGGTTTTTTTTGGAGTTTGTGGTGTTCTATGACTTGCAACCTTACAATATCATCCAAAGAATATTAAAAGTCTGGATCTTTGTTTTTATGGAGAAATGTTGATGTTATGAAAAGAACTGGGTAATTTTCCAAAGATAATCCAGCCAGCTCTCTTGTTCATTTCTGGGCCCAACTCATGCTCCATTTTCAGTGCCTAAGACCTCCATCCTGAATGTTGATCTTTATTATTCACCCGACTTCATATTGTAGCCTGAGCCATAGACATTTTTTATCAGTTCGGTTTTCCCCCTTGTGATAGGTGAATTCTTCAGAGCAGTTTGGGTCTCATTATGACACTCTGCAGATGAGAAAATCATATTACTATTATCTTCAGAAAATGTTTATTAAATGGCTATTCCTGTAGTACTTTAAGTGTTACCTGATAGGATCATAAGGAATCTCCCTTCTTATTCTGTTATGGTGCCAGAAATTGCCATCGTTAAAGATGCTTTATGGGAGACAGTGTAGACAAGATAGAGTTGACTTCCAAGCCAAGAAGACCTAGGTTCAAGTGTCACCTCTGATACATATAGGTTGAATGACCCTGAAAAAGTCACTTAACCTCTCAGTGTTCTGGGCAACTCTTTAAGTATTTAACTTGTAGATAAGGTGCCAACTTGCATTGGCTGAAGAAGTTTCCTCTTCTGGGAGTTCTCTATATTAGTTGAATCACGGGTCCAGTCTCTATTCCTAATCATCATCCAAATTTTGTTTCTATAGCATTTTTCTGGAGATAAATAATTTTAACTATAAAAGCATTATATGCTATGTGGAATAACACAGTTAGCTAAGATGCAATAGAAACATTTATTAAGCACCTGTTGGTTGCAGAGCACTGTCTTAGTTTCTAAGCAATCCATAGTTTGGATAAGACCTATGCTGTTGCTTTCAGAATTTATAGTTCTTTAGGGGAATAAGACACCAACACAAATATCTATAGTACACAGTATTACTCATTAAAGGTATTAGAAAGTTACAGAAGAAGGTATAAGAGGAAGTTTGCATTACTTAGAGTCAGGGATGGAGAGAGGGAAGACTTTTGGAGAAAGTTGGATTTGAATTGGTCTTTAAAGTGTGGGTAGCTGGTATTGGTGGTACGTTCCTGTAATCCTTGCTACTATGGAGGCCAAGCTACAGAGAGCTAAAACCAACCAAGTCTAGCACATATATGGCGAATCCTCATGGGGAAGGTGGGGTCCACATTGCCTACAGAGTAGGGTAAACTAGCCCAGGTCAGAAACAGAGTAGGTCAAACCTACCATGCCAATCGATAGTCGGATTGGGTCTATGAGTGGCCACTGTGCTTCCAGTGTAAGATAGGGAGATCCAGTTTCCCAGGCACACACACGCACACAGACACACACACACACACACACACATACATATATACACACATACACACACACACACACACATTTAGGAATCAGCAAAGAGGGCATGAGGTAGTCCCAGTCCTAGGAAATAGCCTGACCTAAAACAGTGGTAGAAAAATACGGTGTATAGTAGAGAGTCGAGAACTGTCCAATTTTGCTAGAGTATGAATGGAAAGAAGTGATAGGAAATGCACTTGAAAAGAGCTGTGGAGTATTTTGACTGCCAGGCAAAGGGCTTTGAACTTCATAAAGGAGGCAATAGAGACTCTGAGGGTTTGTGAGCAGAAGAATGAGATCAAAAGCTAGCAAAGCAACAGAAGTTTTTCTGACCAATTTAGTAATTCCTCTTGTCAACTAATAGAGGGTAGGGTTCTGTAGGAATGGGACATAATTCAGCTAATGAGACCTGGAAATAAAGAAAGCTCTGGAGCGTGGAGTGCCGCCAAGAGGAGAGAGGCAAGGAAGTTAGAGGCCATCACCATGGCAGCTAAGCAGCATTTTGAATAGCCCTGCCTTGGGGGGATGAAGGACACTAAAAGATGATAAAGGACATTTCTGAAGACAAATTTCACCATAGGATCCTCTATTTAGAGCTGGAAAGAAATTTACATGCGATCTAAGTCCAACCCTTTCATTATACAGATGAGGAATCTGAGACCTAGAGGGTTAAGTGACTTGCATGAAGTCCTCCAGCCAGTTAAGTGACAGAGCTGGGATTCAAATGGCCGTCCAGCCCCAAATCCAGCACACCCTCCACTACAGTATGATGCCTCCTCTGTCTTTTCTCAAAGGCTTGTGTCAAGAGCGAACTTTGAGTAGGTGATTGGTCGTAGATATAGAACTGGAAGGGACTTTGCAGGCCGTGTAGTTCACACCCCCTCTTCCTTTACAGATTAGAAAACTAAAGTCTGACAGGTCAAGAGAGATTAACTTTCCCAAGGCTACAAAAGCCTTGTTAAAGCATTAGTTAAAATCTCAACCCAGTGAGGTCACTGCTCTGCAATGTTCAAAACCTCAACATGGAAGCATGTTGTCTACAAATGATTTAACACCATGGTCTTCATAACAAAGGTGCAGTGAGCTCTGGATGAGTGGTATTCCCTTTTAGCAGCTGTTATCTGGCTCCCAACATAGCAGTCTTGCCTATAAGACACCTGAGAAATAGTCCCTGGAGTAGCTAATGCACACTACTTTCTAAAATGTGACTAAGGATCAGAATTTAGCAACCATTTTCATTTTATTAAAGAAAAAAATTATATAGCCCCACTCAGGAAGTAAATCACTTACTCAGTTCAATTCGAAAGAAATATTTGTCAGACGTCTACTATGTGAGACGTTGTGCCAGGTGCAAGGGAAATAGATATCAAAACATAATAATCCCTGTCCTCAAGGAGCTTACATTCAGCTGGAGAACAGAACAAAAGGCATTGTGGTACAAAATGAGGGATTTGAATCAGCCAACATCTGAAGTTCTTTTTATCTATAGATTTGAGATTCCATGACCATCAGTTCAGTTCCCTTCACAAACCAGAGATGATAGAGGACATCACCAAATGAGCAGTCATCATCTCTCTTACACTTGGGCTTTAATCTAATATTCTGCATGATACTGAGAAACATTTAACCAGTATTCATCTCTTTTTTTGTCTTGCTTGATATCAATGATCAGAAGATTGTAAAACAAGCTTATATCTATTGTAACTTTTAAGGAATCTTAAAGTGGACCTTCAAACCCATCTAAGCAAGTTTATTGACTTCATTATCTTTACTATTTTAACATATTGGAGGAGAACCTTTAAAGTAGGATTTTGTGATAAGGAGACAGATGCTTTTTTTAAAGTCAATGCACAGTAAGTACAGTTGGATGTTGTGTTCTCTACAGCTATATTTCAGTCAATTATGTAAGTTTAAAATGTTGGCTGCTATGCACTATCACTGGTAAAGTTTGTTCACTACTGATGCCCTCATCAAGGATGCTTCGATGTGTATATGGATTATTTTCATAAATAGGCATATAGATTGCTAGTTATTTTATGTTTGGGTGAGAACAAAATCTGAAATTTATTCCACAGCTTTGGTATCTTTCTCTCATTCAGACACTTATAAAGTTTTTCTCACAATATCCTCAAAATTGTTTGGCCTCTAGCAAGGTCCTTCTCTAAGTATATTTGCACTAAGTTTTGGTCAGTGCCATTTACACTTTCACTAGAAGCACATTATAGACAGTGATGTTAAAATCCAAATATTGGAACTTCTTTGTCCCTGATGGTGAGGAAAGTTTTTTTTTATTGAAATCTCTGAAGATCTCTTCTATCTTTTGCCTTTTTGGTTCCAATTTGATCCTTAAATGCCCTCTGAATGGACTTGCTTAGTGGGTCTTTCACAAAGCTGTTTTTAATTTTTTCTAATGGTTCTCTTTATTTTATAAGGAAATAAGGCTTGTAATCTTCCACCATCCTCCTCAAGAGGAGTTTTATTCTAAACTTGTATTTGTTAATTGAGGTTTTTAGGATCTTTACTTATTAGATTTCTTTATGTCAATGAATGACATACCCTTTTCAACATCTCTGGTAAAGCTTGAGTTAGCAATTATGGCCTTGGTTAGATTTGCTCTTTTGTTTAGTTAATTGCTAGAAGGACCAGGTACAAAACTTGATGCAAAAGTTTTATTATAATTTTACTGTGAAATAAAAAGTTTTCATTCTATTTTATTTGCCTTATGGATAAAAAAAATGCATGTATCAATTGACACAACTTGGTCCTTCAAAGTATTCTTAAATTCTGGTCCTTCTAGTGTTGAACATTCTCTCTACATTCTTATTTCCACTCTTAATTGACTTAGAAAAATTATTCATAAACAGTGCGAAGGTAAGCAAAAGACATTTCTGAATTAGTAGAGTCCAATTTGGTGAGGTTTCAATGAATATTTATGCCATTTTGCTATTTCATCTAGGGAGATTAAATTTTGAAGAGAAAAAAATTAAAATGATTAATACCCAGGAAAAGGAAGAATACCATTTCCTTCCTTTCTTTCATTCTTTCTTTTTTCTTTCTTCCTTCCTTTCTTTCTCTCTTCCTCCATTTCTTTCATTCTTCCTTCCTTCCTCCTTCCCTCCCTGCTTTCCTCCTTTTCTTCTTTTTTCCCTCCCTTCCTTCCTTCCCTTCTTCCCTCTTCTCTCCCTTTCTTCCATCCTTTCCTGACAAAATCATTTTTTCCAAAAACCTGTTATTTTTTTCTTAGAAGATTAATATCTTCAGATCTTCAAAGCTCATGTTCTCTTGAAAATTTTATATAATTGTCCCTCAACCTTTCATTAAGTCTGCTTAAAATGTATATCCTTTCTTTGCGCTGTGCTGATTTATGCTCACTTGTAGTTTGCTTTGTCAGTGTTCTTAAGCATTGTTCATGTATATATTCTTTATATGCATTAAGCTCTTTGAGACGCGTGGCCTGTGCCTTTTCTTTCTTTTGCATTGCTTCACACTGGTGTAAGCATAGAGCACAATGATGATGACTAAATGTTTATGACTAATGATTTTTATGTTTCATTTCACAGGCCGGGAGCATTAAACGTGAAATGACCTTCACCTTTCAACAGGAGGACTTAAAACGTGACTTTAGTAAAAAAATATCCTATCAACAATTGTTCCCTTTGGCCATGGCAGAAGATGTGAGAACAGCTGACACCAAAAAAGCCCACAGAGTCCCTGAACATGAAAAAGAGAACACTCGATCCATCTGTCTCCTGGAACAGAAACGCAAAGTTGTTTCGTCAAATATCGATGTTCCTCCAGCAAGGTAGGAAAGACCAACATAGACCCACTCAGCCAACAAGTGTTTATTAAGTGCTTATTGTGCCAAAAATATCTATGGGTCTGGCCTAGTAATTATGTGGAAAACATTCAAAAGTTCTGATAAAGCGTCTTCTTCACTCATCCAGTATGATGAACAAAAGCCTCTTGCCAAAAGATTTCTTTCTTGAGATGCTCTACATTTCAGAGTCTGAGCTGGAGTCAGGCTGGGTAGTTGGAGCCTGTGTAGAATGGGTATACTGATGGAACAATATTTTAAGATGAGGGGATAATAGGAATAAAAATAGGAAAATCTACCCCCCCAGATTTAGTGTGTAGGGGCAGATATAGGCATAAAAATGGGTGCATGCTGGTCTTTTTCTATGATAATATGTTAGGTATTGGAATAGAGACTGGATCTGTTATTTCATTGATGATGGGAATGTACAGGTAAGAAGACTATTTTTGCCAATGCAAATTTGGACCTGCTCTGCAATTTATAGTCATAGAGAGTTGCCTGGCACATTAAAAGGTTAAGTGACTTGTCCCGAGGCACACGACCATTACCTGTCAGAGGCAGTACTTGAACCCAGGTCTTCCTGGTTCTGAAGCCAGCCTTCTAGCCTCCATACCATGTTGCTTCTCAGTTATAGCATAGAATTCACTATAAGGCAAGCCAGCCTTGAAATCTATCTGAGAAGGCTTATTGACTTTATCTTATACTACTTTACCTATAAAGTGTTCAGGAGCATTGACTTAAATGGAATTGCATCAAAGCTTAGATGTATATACTGTAGATTATCACAATGGACCAAAAGAAGAAATAGAAAATAAATCCAGGTAAGAAATATGTGATTTTAAAATGCTGATGGTATAGTTTAAAAGAAATTGATTGATCAAAGAGAACAAATAGAAATCTCACGTACTCTTTGAGCCACTACAACACAGATAGTTGCTTTAGTTTTAATATATACACCATATTTTGTTGCAAAAACTTTTCTAGCAAAACATTAAGATTAAAAAAAAGATTTAATTTTAAACAGATGAATTTCTGACAGCTAGTTCAAGGATAAGAATCTTTAAAAAGCAACACATGCCCTTTTCGTATTCTAATCTCTTTGTTGCTAATAGGGAGATTATTTGGTTTAATTTGGCGAAAGTTTCAGAAATTGGCAGGGAGGATTGTACATTGAGGTGGGGATAAAAACCTGAAAGATGATAGCTTGTTTTCATTGTTTGAAATCTATTTTGGGTTGAGTTCAAAAGTAACTTCCCTAGAAGTTGTTTTTCAGTGTTCTGCTGTCTTGCCAAATTTGTAAGACTTTCTAAAATTTCAAACTACTTTGTTTTCCCCATCTTTGCTGCCAAATTACTCAAGTGTGTTAAATTCTCATATGCCTGCTACATGTTTTTAGCTACTTAGAATTCTTCATGTGGCTTGTCTTTCAAAAAAAGTGTATGTAAAGTTTGGGGTTTTTTTTTCTTCAATTGATCAAATTTTTTTTCCCCTGGGGATTTGGTAACTACAGGTTGCTTTCACGTCTAAGAACTATGTAAATATAGGTTGTTCAGTAGAAAACACATAAAGTTATACATTAGAAAGTTGAAACCTTAAGTTCTACTTTTCTTTCCTTCTAAGCTTTTAAAGAAAGAAAAGAGTAGATTTTAATAATGTCAAGGAGTTTAGTGACAATTCAACATTACAGTACTAGAATTTAAATTAATTTAATTTACATCATTCTTTGTATTTGTTAATGCACCATTGGCATTTGTCTCAGGTTTTTGCAGGTCTACAAGTACTAAGTACACTTTGCTACTTTAGTGTAGTACTTACTGTGGTGGTGAGAATCAAATGTTGTCCCAAAAGTCTTAGTGCAGCTTAAAGCTATTAAATTGCATATAAAACTGAATATGTAGAATGTTGTGCCAGCTTTAAGTGACTATATAAATGCCAACTAGTATTATTATTATTGTTATAAGCACCATGTTAGGAAATGTTATATTTTGAAAGGGGAGAGGTAAAGAAGAAAGGAGGAGATAAAGTCAGTATATTTCTCATTTCTTCAGTGTTCTCTGATTATATTTTTCTACCCTTTCAAATTCACTAAATGTAATTAAGAAGCATAACAGTCAAGCTAGGGTTATATAGCAAGACTGGTGAATGATGTAGAAAAATTAATTAGGTTTTAAATCCATTAATGTACAGCAGAATACTCTAGTGACAAGATGTGATTTACACTTATTAAGTCCTTAAAGGAAATTTTAGTTGAATTTTCATCATTTGGGGTTTCTGGTAATCCAACAATTTCATCACTGTGGTGTGAATTTAATAATTTCAGGTTAGCAAACAGATGATGAAATAAATTGATCATTTTCTTGGATAATGATAAAGTATAAAGAAATTGGTGAATGTAATGGTCTGTTTTCAAATTATTTTTCTTTTGTCCCTAAAATTAACACATGCTATTGTGTCAACTTTAGAATGTATGTTTATGACAGTTAAATCTTCCTCTATCTTCTGCATAGATCACAATTTTGTCTTAAGTAAATTAGCTTTTAAGGAGACAGGCACTCTTTCTACATTTTATTTATTATATAAGAGGAAACACCAAAGCTTTCAGTTATTATTACAAAAGCATTGCCATATCAATTCTCTGCTCAAGAAGTTTTAGTAGCTTCCTCTAGGATAAAACACAAATGCTTATCTTTAGTATTTAAAACCCTTCACAATCCATCCCCAACCCATCTTCTGAGATTACATTCATATTATCTTTGGTCATACCCTCTATTGCATCCAATCAGACTGGGCTGTTTACTCTTCTGTTTGGGACATTGCATTTCCTGCCTCCATGACTTTGTACAAGCAGTCCCCAGTTCCAGAAATGCTTTCCCACCACACCTCCACCTCTCATAGTTCCTAGCTTCCTTCAAGTCTCAACTCCAGGACTCCCTCCTACAGACAGACCTACTTGATCCCCTAAGTTTTTAGTGTCCTTTTTGCCTCCTTGAAATTACTTTGTATATAGTGTATATATTATTTGTATATATTGTATATATTATTGCGTATATTTGTGTGTACTATTTTTTGCATTCTTTGTATCTGTTCTTTGTTATATTATTTCCCCCCATAAAGCTAAGCTCCTTGAGGTCAGGGATTGTTTTATTTTTCTCTTCCTATCTCCAAAGACTTGTATATCATTTAATAAATGCTCATTTAAAACGGTGCTATTTGGAAAATTGCAAACTCTACCAGGAAAGTGGCATTTGTAATTATAAGGAACACTTTAATATGCATATGCAAAATGGTTGCTGGGGTTTATTCATCGACTCTCTTAGAAAGAGAGGTTTTAACTTTTTTCAAGTCAGCAAGGTATCATCTTAGTAGGGTTACTGCCTTCCTAAATAGCTAACCTTTTATCAGAACTAGGAGAATGTGACTCATTGAAAACTCCTTTTGTAATAATGTGTTCTCCATATTAATTCAATTAGCTTTAGTATTTCTTGAATAGCTCCTTTAGACTTAGAGTTACTTTATTATTAATGCTTTCTGGGGAGAGAAAGAATAAGAATACTTTTCTACAGACCAAGGAGAATTTGTAAATAGTTTATGTTGTAAATTAGGTAATATAAGCAGTGCTAAATTAAATGATTATACACACTTTTTGCTATATTTTTTTTTACTTATTATATTGCTCTTATCTCTTAATAACATTTCACATGTGTGTTTTGTTCACTTTATCTATATTGAAATCTCTTAGAGGACATAGTTTTGCGGGGTTTTTTTGTTCTTTTGGCATATTCCTCTGTGACACTTAATTCCTCAGACTCAGTAATTACTTGCCAGTCAGCTATATGACTGGACAAATATTTAGAGGTAAAATCTCCCAAGAACAAATACTGGTATGTGAGCTCTGTGTGCAGCTGCTGATTGTTCTGGTGGGTTTCCAGCTATTAAAACTTATAAAGATAAAAAGTACTAATTAATAATACATATACTTGGAGCTTAATTGTGTGATATTCTTGGGCTTATTTTTCTAATCTGAAAGATTTACAGGAAAACATTTGTAAATAACCCAATAATTTTTGATGAATGCTTTACAAATGCTAATATCAACAAAAAAAAAGTAAGAAAACAAACCCACATCATTAATTGGTAGTTACTAGGAAGACTGACTGATAAATTGCATAAGCCCTTTATGTAATCACCAAGTTGAGTTTTTATCCATACCATTTATGTACAGAGGGTTGGATCCTTTATCTTTGTATATCCTTCTGCTAAAGTCTTCCTTATCTGATGAAGTAATAGGAAGAAGTCAAAGGATTTAGGTTTGAGTCTTGGGCATTGTTAACTTGCTTCCTGTGTCCTTTACCCTTCTGGGCCTCAGTGTCTTTAGCTGTAAAAACAAAAAGATTAGACAAGATGATTTCTTTCCAGTTCTAAATCCTGTGATCTTTATCTCTTCCTAAAAATTTTCAGATTATATACCAAAACTCCTATTTTGAATCAGATGCTGTCTCTTTAATCAAGTCACTGATCAGTTCTACTTTAACCAACTCCTTACATGATGATGATGATGATTATGATGATGATGATGATGATGATGATGATGATGATGATGATGATGATAGAGTGCTGGATTTGGAGTCAAGAGACCAGAGTTCAGTTCTACTCTGATTCTTCCTAGCTGTGTGACACGCTGCAAGTTACTTAACTTCTCTGTGGCTCAATGTCTTCAGGTGTAAAATAAGACTAATAATACTTTGCTACTTAGTTCACAGGCACTGTGCTAAGTGCTTTACAAATATGATCTCATTTAATCTTCCCAACAGCCCTGTGAGGTAGGCCCTGTTTTACCATTGGGGAAACTGAGGCAAATAGCAGTTTGTTTTTTTTAAGTGACTTGCCCAGGATAAGATAATGATGAAAGCATTTTGCAAACCTTGAAGTGCCCTAGAGAGGTGATCTATTATTATTAATATGGGTTAGAAAATATTTAAGAGGCAACA